ATCATATCAGAAAAATGCTCCCAATCCATTTCTAAGTTTCAATGGATTTATTTTTTATTTTTTATTTTCTATGGTTCTGACATAACTGTCTTGATCGGTGAATAAATGTAAGACATAGGTACACCATGTAAACTTTTCCAACATTCTCGGAGAACATATTTTATATGGTTTCGAAATCTCTCGCTACCCACTGAATGATCCCATCATGTCTTCCATCTCCAACGCCAACACAACCAAAATCATGATATAGGGCATTAACCGAACTTGAGATGCTTTAAAACCCTCTTCTCTTCTTAACAATTCATTGTTTTGTTGAATCATCATTGCCGACATATGAGCCATATTATTTTGCATCTGTTACTGCTCAATCCTACTGCCGTAGGTCGAAGATTACAGTTCCCTTGTGCCATTGTGATTCTTGTGCCTTTCCTCAAATATTGCACCTCCTTGCGAACAATTGCTTTGTGCCATTATCAATCTCTCAAAGCCTCACTCTTCTAATGGAAAACAGTCTTTCTTTTGTTGCTACCAGATTCAGATTCATTGCCATTTGGACCGCTTGATCAAGTCAACAATCAGTTTGCAGATTTATTTTTATTTTTTTGGGTCGAACAATCTCTTTGTAGAAAGAATATGAATAAATTGAGTTTCAGTGAAGAAGTCTTCCTTGCATTGGTTGAGTTGTAGGGAACGTAATTACATAAGTGCTTTCCCAATGCTAGTAGAATTCCAAGTTGATTTCACCTGATCATCGAGAATGGATAGGCAAATGTCCACTTGTTTCTATCTCTCCCATAATTTGAAGGATAACAACATCATTCCAGTCTGACTTACAACCAAATACATGAAGTGAGAGCTTTCGATCATGTCATGCTCCGGACCTGGGGAAAGGTAGAAATCCTGTGCCCGGTGCTTGATAAATAAAAAGTAAAATAACATGGCGAAACATGGGTTAACATAAAATTCTCTTATAAAAATAGGTCAAAAAGCTTACAAGTGTACCAAAAATAAGTAAAGTTCTATGACTCTCATCTAATTCAACCCCAGCCAGTTTAGTGCTTGTCTTCCCCACTAATTCATCTGAAAAATAAACATGGTGAGGGATGAGTAAATCACCACTCTGTGAGTAGATTATGTAATATGACAGTCAAGCAATGCCGTTTTACACACTAGTCTAGAAAATATCATAAAAAGATACACCAATCCAGATCATATCACATCATTACTTCATATCTCGGTTATCATTCATAGCATGTAACCCACCACACGACCCATAATACCCTCACTGCCTTATGCTCCCGTGTGGTACATCTATCCCTCGGATACCCAAACACTAAAATTCTCATGTTCAATGAATAATACATACTTCATAAATAGTCCAATCAATATATAGTGTGAAAGATTGCGCCAAATTAGATATGCTTGACTTGAAATAGAGAGATATTTGTAAATAGAACAAATCCATGATAATTCATGGTTTGTCATTTTATCACAAAATAAGAACTTTTAAAACACATTACATAAACCACTCACCTCGATAAGAGAATCCTTAAAAGAATTGGCAAGACAACCCATCCAAGAATCTCCACCAATGCACTCCCTCCCCCTTCTCTCTCTAACTTTCTTTCTAATTTCTCATGTTTAGAAACTATGATGGTTATGCTCATATTTATAGTGATTATAGAGATATGATAAACTTCAATAATTAGAAGGATAAGAACATCCAAGTTTATCCAAAAGATATTTTAATAAGATAAGATCATCCAAATTTATCCAAAGGATACATATCTTAAAAGGATAAGATTGTCCAAGTTTATCCAAAAGATAAATATCATCTTTTCTCCTTTTAAAATACATGTCTTCATAGATCAATTGAGGGCTTTGAACCAAACCCATGCTTAGCTTAAGAAAAGGTTCAGGCCTTAGGAGCAATAACTTGAAAAGCAAGTCATCCTAGAGTTGAGTCATATGGAGATTTAAGTCCATGGGAATAACCCTAATATACTATCTACTAGTACTAGGAGGGCCATAAGATCACCTCAAGCACGAAGCTATACTGTTCAACCAAACCAAACTCAGTTGCGTGGAAGTTCTCCAGCTTGGATATCAACCTTTGATTATAGCATATTCTATAACTTCTGACCCGTTAGTTTGAACAATATTTTAGGAAAAACCCATGAAAATATAGACAAGAAAAAAACAAAAGTGTACAAAATAATATATATATATATATATTTTGGTCAAGGGAGTGTACAAAATAATATAGGTCTTGTAAATATACGTGTGTAATAGTTACAAATAGAAAAATCCTATGATTAAACTTCCAAGTTTGTGTCAGATCCCAGAGTGACAAGCACTTGATCTTCAATTGTAAGGAGGAATATCCAGGTATGCTTATAAGGACTTGATCAAGAATGCTATAGGATTCTTCACAAGGCTTGATTAAGAGTGCTTTAACTTATAACGTATAAGTTGTGTGATCCACTAGTAATAGAACGGAGGTGGAGATAAAAGCATACACATTGGGAGTTCTTTGGGTTGCCTAATTTATTAGACCTAGGTAAGTTGGAGACAATATCAAATGATGACTCATGATTAGTAGTGGGCCCACATTGATCCATTTCTTGCCTTATCCCAATTTGTTTGGATCCATCTAACTCTAAAAGTTTAGCCAATAATTTAGTTTATTAAGGGAGGACAACAAAATAAGATGGCCAATCTAACGTTATATTCCTAACAACTCCATCCAAGATGTAGTCAAATAAAGAATCATTTTTTAGAACCTCTTGGTCATTTAATTCTTTACAAAAAGTGGCCCTATATGTCATCAAAATTGAGTTGTTAAAAACTGAACTTCCTAAAATGACATTTAGGGCCACTTTTTGTAACGAATATAGTGTGATATGGTAAAAAGACTTTCAAAAGTGACTTTATCTGACGGCATCTCGTATGAAATTGCTAGGACTATGATGGTGGGGGATATGTTGACTAGTTTTGTATAATTCAAGAGAAAAATTAGCTAACACAAAGTTTTAGCGGGAGGGGTAAATTGACAAAATCAATATAATTTAGGGAGAAAAACTTATTAAAGAAAGAAGATGTTGATCTCTTGGTTGGTTTGTAATGTTATCATCAATGGAGGTAGTTTTGATAATCTAGTCTCCAAAGAGAGAGTGGCAAAATCGAACCTTGAAGTTTACCAACATCTAAGGCCATATCAAATAAACTTTGTTCAAGAAAAAAGGTGTGCATGGCATTGTGGACCAAATGCTTTGGAAGTAGGTGGTCAAGAAACTTGCTCATTGACTCTACTTTTTACATTTCGTGTATATATATATATATATATATATCTCCAAAAGACCTAAGTCAAGAAAATCTTTAGGCGTAGGCATATAAATCACAAGACTAGTAAACTGGACTGAGCTAGACCTAATCGGCAGGTATTGAACCGGTTTTGACTAAAATTCTTCGTTAAACACTATACAATTTAAGTGAACCAGTCAAGTGCCTCATTCACGATTAGAAAGATTCAATATGAACCAAACCGAACCGATACACTCTAGTTCCCTACATGCACTCATAGAAAAAAAAAATATTTAATTTATCTCTACTTTTACCCTGACATAGCCACCCACCCCCTCCTTCTTCCTCATTTACACGTGTGCATATATATATATATATATATATATATCTCTCTCTATTTCTTATATCACAACCCACAAACACTATTTTTTTTGTAAAAAA